AATATGCAGTTAGCTTTTGTTAGTTTAGCTCAACTTTTTATGGATTCTATTATAATAGATCCAACTAATTATTCTTCTGATCACTGGTCTATAAATAGACCATCTATGTATTTTCTCAACAATTTTATCATTTTAATCAATTACACATAGATCAGTTTTCTCTCTCAATCTCTCTGAGATTTCTCTCCTTTCTTTATCCCATTACTCTTTCATTTAAATAACAGTGCTGAAGTAAATTCATGTACCTCCCCTTCACTGCATTGCTGCAAATACTTATTTACAGCAGGATATTTAATCATAACTTATGAATTTATTGCTACGTACAAATATTAAAAAGTTAAATTGAGAAATAAAAACAAGAGTATATACCCAAATTGGTCCCTGACAAAAAACTCGGTATCCAAATTAGTCCCTAACAAAAATAAACTAGCTGGGAAGTCCCCAACAAAGATGAACAGGTCCCACGTTAGTCCTTCTGTTTGTCCAAAATTGACGGTGTCAATGACGGTGCTGAGGTGTAACGTTAATTGAGATGCTGAGTGCCACGTTGTATGTGGAACGACGTCGTCTGAACATAGGATACCCACGTTGCTCAGAGAGGTTTTCACTAAACGAATTGAACGTTGAGTTGTCTCTCCCTCTCATTTTCATGAAGGAACGTCGTTGTATGCTTTAAGGTTCTTCCTAAACCAGAAAGAAAGGGGATTGAATCAAAGATTGCATGTTTAAATTTGAGAATTAATTATTTAGGGTTTACTGAGATTGGGGTTATCTTGTATTTTGTGCGTTATTTGATCCATTAGTTTTTAGGAGATGAATATTTCATCTGGAAAGAGGAGCTCAAGCCCTTATAGTTCATTTGGGTCCAGAAGTGAAAGAAGGAGAGCTGCTCCATTGTGTAAATATGGGAGGCACAGTGTTGTTTACACCTCCAAGACCATTAGAAACCCAAATAGAGCATTTTTTGGGTGCCCCAATTTCAAGGTGAGGTATTTTTTTCCATGCATTCTTTGTGTAATTTGAATGTTATTAACAATTTGGTGTTAGGAAAAGAAGCCACACTGTAACTTTTTTACATGGGTGGATGATGCTACATCTGATACCATGGAGCTGGAAGATTGGAGAATTAATAAGCTGGAGTTGAATGTAGCTGAATTGGAATTCAAGTTGAACTTTTTGGACATGAAGCTCAATGATAAATTGCAGCTGGAGGTGAATGACCACAAAAAGAAGATTAATGAGCACTATATAAAGATTGATGATCTATCAATGAAGATGCAGGCAGAGTTTGAAAGGGTGGAGAAGGAAATTAAGCATGTGTGTAGGTGTGCAAGGGTGTTTGCTGGATCCATTATTGTTGTGTTTGTAATATGTATATATCTTGCCAGTAGGATGGAGTGAAACAAAAAGTATGGTTCTGTTAAGATTTGGTGGTGTATGTACCATTACATGGTGTATGTACCATATAATGGCTTATGTATTTGAAGTTATGTGTATTGTTACAAAGTGTTGTATGAACTTGATGCAGATTATGTTTATTGGAAACAATGTATGATGGTGTGAATTATGCACAAGTTAATTCTGGTAATCATGACTGATATCAGCATATTGGCACAAAGTGTTGTATGAACTTTTGCAGAGTACCAAAATTGGAAACAATGTATAATGGTGTGAATTATGCAGAACTTAATTGTGTTAGGTATAACTGATATCAGCAGGAACAAGGGGAAATGAAATTGCTGGGGTGTTAATATGAAATGTACATTCCTGATAACAGAACTTTAGGAGGGACTGAAAAGGACCTCGATAAGATTGTTAGGGACCATATGGACCTAAGAGTTTGAAGACAGTGACTAAAAAGGTCCTCGATAGAAAATGTTGGGGACTTATAAGGGAACTTAATTGGTGATGGTTTGCAAGTGTAGTGAATGCACACATGACACTTAAATGGTCACAGCTAACAGAACAAAAATACCATTGTTGACAGAAACCAGAAAGTGTATTAGCAGACAGATGGTGTGGATCAAAAATTAAAAAATGCACATGGTAGAGAGCAATGACAGCAAAGACAGATAGTAGCAAGACATTTTCCATTTATTTCATCAGATCCTAGTTACAAGTACATACCATGGCCAACATGCCAAAACATCATACTGACATAATTCCATTAGGACCAACACAATAGTGTTCCAAAAAAACAAGGTTTTCCTAATAACTATGGCCATAACCAGAGGCATACAAAAAAAACCTACTGACATAGTTGAACAGGGCCAATACCAAAGTATTTCCAAAAAAATGGTCTAATTACAATTCCAATAAATTCCTAAATCAGAGGCATCCAAAAACTAATGGATCAAATAACGCACAAAATACAAGATAACCCCAATCTCAGTAAACCCTAAATCATTAATCCCCAAATTTAAACGTGCAATCTTCGATTCAATCCCCTTTTTTCTGGTTTAGGAAGAACCCTAAAACATACGACGACGTTCCTTCATGAAAATGAGAGGGAGGGACAACTCAACGTTCAATTCTTTTAGTGAAAACCTCTTTGAGCAACGTGGATATCCTATGTTCAAACGATGTCGTTCCACATACAACGTGGCACTCAGCATGTCAATTAACGTTACACCTCAGCACCATCATTGACACTGTAAATTTTGGACAAACAGAAGGACTAACGTGGGACCTGTTCATCTTTGTTGGGGATTTCTCAGCTAGTTTATTTTTGTTAGGGACTAATTTGGGTACCGAGTTTTTTATCAGGGACCAATTTGGATATTTACTCTAAAAACAAAATACACAGTCTATATGTAGACCTACTTAAAAAATAGAAGACTTGTCAATAAGGGTGGACACAGTTGGTTAAGGATTTGACTCATACTCCACAAGGGCATGGGTTCGAATCTCGCTGGCCGATGTGAGGACTTTGTTGATGGGTGATCTGCAATCCCTCTCAAAAATCCTCAAAGAAGTTGGAAGGTCTGTCCTGACCTTAGTGAAATACCAATGTCTAACCCTACCTAAACTTTTATATATAAAAAAAAATAAATAAAAATAGAAGACTTTGTCACAATATCTAAGAACGATTGTCAAAACCAAGAGTAAGGCTTAAGCAATAACTTTTAACTGTTGCACGCGCCGATGTAATATAACAATTATTGATAATTTGGTTGTTTATCATGGTTGGTGATCATAAGTCACGAGTTTGATTCTCACCACCTCTATTTTTTAGTGAAATTAAATTAGCTTAAGATAGATAAAAAAAAAAAAATATTGTACATGTAGTATTCACGCTTCAAAGTCCAAAAATATTCTTACATAAAAAGTATGTTAGTGAAATATAATATAAAAATCATTAATTCTTTTGAATACATTATAAAAATCATTAATATACCTTCACTTACAACATAATATTTATAAGGTGCATGTCTTCTAAAATGATCACCCATTTAAAGAGAATGAAGTTAATGTTTGAGAGTTCCAAACTCCACCTTCGCACCAATTAAAGACCTACCAGGCCACGAGTTAAGTGGAAGTTGGTGGAACGAGTTAATTCATCTTTCCTTTTAGAATCTGCTGAAACTTACTTTACATAAAGTTGCAGTCAAAGAAACCACCATGAATATTTCTCCTTACATCTCATATGCATTTAATCATGTCTATCTTAACGAAGGACTTAAAAGTCTTTCAACAATGACCTCTGCCATTGTTTCCCTATGCCATGTGGTCCCAAAAAAAGAGTAGTGCATGTATGTTATTTATATGCGGAATATATTTGATTATTAACGTTGGCTTAAACATGATCTTTAGGTATTTTTAGTAAATTTTGAACCCCTACATTTCTTATAAATTTTCCTCACATAAAATTTACTTGGTCGACTACACATTTTATGATTTTCCATCTCACGTCTAAAGAAACAATAAGCGTGTATATATATATATATATATATATATATATATATATATATATATATATATGTTTTATTAGATCAAGATATATACCTTTGCAATTAATCGCTTGCTCTATTCATATTAATACGAGAGAATAGAAGGAGGGAAATGATAAGAAGAGCGAGCACAACAATCAAAGTAAGACACATGTTGTTGCACTAAAAATTAAATACAAGATTATGGATTGTGATCATTGTTGAAGTCTGTTTAAGTCACAACAATCAAAGTAAGACACATGCGTTGCACTAAAAATTAAATACAAGATTATGGATTGTGTTCATTGTTGAAGTCTGTTGTGTGAAGAGAGGACATGATCCTAAAGCTATGGGAGCATTGATGAAACTAATTAGTATAACTACAATTAAATATGTAAAAAAAATTACTTTCAATGAAATTATCATCATAAGTCATAATAGAAAACAAGGGATCCAATGCGTGCTTCCAAAGAAAAAAAGAACCTTGGTCAACTACATAAACAACCTATACCAAATTTCCATTGAATTCAAGTCAATCGACTTTAGTCACACTCTTATATATGTTTATAATATTTAAAACTGGAAGAAATTGAAATTAATTGATTAATTCACATAACAAACACAACCTCAAAATGGTAGTATATTTTTACGTCATATTGTGTCATAAGAATTCAGGGGGGGAACTCACACAGGTTTCTTAAAAGATAAAAAATTAAAATCAAACCCCAAACTAAATAAGGTCGAAGCACTTGCATTAATAAAACAACCAAATTTTCAGTATGCATTCATATCCGCAACCTTCCCTTTCATTTTCGGATTTAACTGCATCTTCCATGAAAACCCCATCCCTATAAGAAAACATTAATTATATATCTCATTTCCCTAAAACAAAAAGTGAGATTTCGGGTAGATTATTTCATATAAAACTTAAGGAGACTTTATCCAATTAATTAATCCTAAAAGAAATTAAATACAATACTAACAACTAATAGAGAAGGGAGAAAAAAAGAAGATACAACATTAAGAACTAAAAATTCTAACAAACAAAATCAAATTACTTTGCTTATCTCACTAAACATCAACATTGCAACTTTGCCAAAACTGAAACTTCACCACCGGAGACACACCTCCGATCCCATTATTCCGATCACCGGAGAACCCAATATTCGCGGGACAGTTCACATAAACATGGTACCTCCCAGAGACCCAAGTCCCCACCTTCCACTTGACCCTACCGTTGATCTTAACGTTGACCATAACAACTCCAGCATTCTGGTCCTGCTGCAGAGAACTCAGCACATACGGCGACACCGGCACGGAGTTACCGTAGAGAAACGGAGACCAAACGGTGAAGTCCTTGTGGCCCTGATAGGTGTCCGGCACCGCCGTGGCGAGTGAGATCTGTTGGCTCCGGTACGAGACATAGACATCGAGTTTCTGGTAGTAAATGCCGATGCGGTCGTTAGGGTTGTGAGCTGAGAGCGTGACTTGCATTGTTATTGTGAGTGTGTTGGGTGTGGGAGCGAAGGGAGAAGGTTCGGTGGTGGTGGAGGAGAGGTTGAAGGCGTAGACGGTGGCGTCTTGAAGCATAAAGCGTGGTTTGGTGGGTCTGAGGATGATCCATGTTAAGAAGATTATGAGGAGTATTAGGACTATGAAGGCGATGATGCCGGCGAATATGCTGCGGAGGAGCTTGCCGTCGTCGTGGTGGTGGCCGCACTCCTTGGAGGACATTGTGATAATTGCTCAATAACTTCAAGAATGGTTTCGTATAAATGCAAAGGCCAAATAATGCAAATCTATATATGCGTTTAAGTCAAGGTTGTTGAATCTCAATACATACAGTGTATTTTTTAATATTTTTATATTGTGTATAATAAATCATTTCGAATCGTAAGATATATATTAAAAAATATAATAAAAAATAATTTAAAAATATATATTAAAATATATATTTAATTACTTTCTTTATTAATATAAATTTTTTAAATTGATTTTTGAATTTAAATCACAAATCAAATCTTTATTTTATTTTCTATTTTAATAATATTTTTATATGTATATTTTAATTTAAATTATAAATCAAATCTTTATTTCTTCTTTTATATTAAAAATTATAAATTTTGATTTAATTTTTGTATCGTATAACATATGATACAATATCATATAATATACGATACAGTATCGTATTGTATGATACAATATCGTATTATACGATACGAATATCTTTCTAATACACCTACGATACATATCATTGTACTTGTGAATCGTATCGTACGAATTGTGTATCATACGATACTAATAACTATGGTTTAAAGTTTCGTAGCAGATAAATTTTCCTCCTACACACATAAATCTGTGTGGGGCCATATGAACCCATGTAAGAAGAAGGAAGAAAAAGATAAAACATAAGCATATACTTTTATATAAGTGTAGGAGATAAATTTATCTCCTTCAACATAACAAACACTAAACTATATATATATATGGGTTTGTTTTTTCTAAAGTTACTTTAGATACCTTTATCTAATGTTCGCCGAAACGACGTCGTTTTGGGACGGAAATTATGGTGTATTTGTAATATTAATTTATTTCAGGGTTATAATAGTCTTTATCATTCTATTTTTTTAATTTTTCAACCTTAAAACTACGTCGTTTCGGTGAATATTAGACAAAATTGTCTAAAGTAACATTAGATACTTTTTACCCTATATATATATATGAGGTAGGATCTTTTGACACTGGTGTCAAATTTGAAGTTTGACACCTCATCTGAGAGCCGTTAGATAAAAAAAATCAATGGTATTATATGTTTACAAATCAGAGTCGTTGATCTTTTTTGATCTAACGGCTCTCATATGAGGTGTCAAACTTCAAATTTAACACCGGTGTCAAAGGATCCTACCTCTCTATATATTTATATTTATATATTCATATATATACGGATAGGATCCTTTGACACAGGTGTCAAATTAAAAAATTTGACCCCAAATCTTAACCATTGATTTCTGTCAATCTACCAGTTATAATTTATTGGGACACACTTATTAATTAATTATTAATTTCCAATAAATTACAACCGTTAGATTCCTGAAATCAACAATTATGATTTGGTGTCAATTTTTTTATTTTAATACCGGAGTCAAAGTATCTTGCCGCATATATATATATATATATATATATATATATATATATATATACTTTAATGTTTCTAAAGTGAATGTAGATAAGTTATTTACATTCGCTCTCAAAACGACGTCGTTTTGGGTTGACAAATAAAAAAAATTATAGTGAAAAAGACTATTATAACCCTGAAATAAATTATAATTACAAAAATACCTTGATTTCTGCCTCAAAACGACGTCGGTATGTGCTCAATATAGATAAGTTATCTACATTGATTGTAGAAAAAGTGAACATATATATATATATATGTATATGTATTAGAGATATATAAAATCATTAATGTAGCCTCCCCCAACTGCTCAAGTTTTTGGGTTGAATTGATTTTTTACATGGTATCAGAGCCTCGGTGTCACAGGTTCGATTCTCATCACCCCTATTTAATTAATAATTAATTAAGTCTTGGAGTTTTTTAACACATGTAGGTAGTAGGCCTCTACATTGTCCACCCTTCAAACCTACTGGACTCTCGTGTGAGGGTGTGTGTTAGGTGTTGTGACATGACAAATAATAAACCATATATATATATATATATATATATATATATATATATGGGTTAAACTAATCTCATCTTACATGAAAGCAGCGTGACTCACTTTTTTTGTCAGCTGCAGATAGCAGCTCTCGTATCCTGTAACAGCCCCAAACCCTGTAGCAGGATATTGTCCGCTTTGCCCCGCGCACAAGCACCGTCGAGCTCACGGTTTTACGTTTCGGGTTACCCCCAAAAGGCCTCCTACAAGGAAAGGTATCCACACCCTTATATAAGGCATGCTTCGTTCCCCTCTCCAACTGATGTGGGACATTACATCCTCCCCCACTGGGAATACAGCGTCCCCGCTGTACACACCGGTCCAGGGCCAGGCTCTGATACCAAATGTAACAGCCCCAAACCCTGTAGCAGGATATTGTCCGCTTTGCCCCACGCACAAGCACTGTCGAGCTCACGGTTTTACGTTTCGGGTTACCCCCAAAAGGCCTCCTACAAGGAAAGGTATCCACACCCTTATATAAGGCATGCTTCGTTCCCCTCTCCAACCGATGTGGGACATTACATCTGGTATCAGAGCCTGGCCTTGGACCGGTGTGTACAGCGGGGACGCTGTATTCCCAGTGGGGGAGGATGTAATGTCCCACATCGGTTGGAGAGGAGAACGAAGCATGCCTTAAATAAGGGTGTGGATACCTTTCCTTGTAGGAGGCCTTTTGGGGGTAACCCAAAACGTAAAACCGTGAGCTCGACGTTGCTTGTGCGCGGGGCAAAGCGGACAATATCCTGCTACAGGGTTTGGGGCTGTTACATATCCTGTTTTTTTTTTTTTAAGAAAAGCAACGAGGCTCACTTTTTGTGTCAGCTGCTGATAGCAGCTCTTTGCAGCTGCTGCAGAAAAATTGTATATATATATATATATATATATATATATATATATATATATATTGGAATAGGATCTTTTGACACCGGTGTCAAATTTAAAGTTTGACACCTTGTCCGAGAGTCATTAGATCAAAAAAGATCAATGACTCTGATTTGTAAGCATGTGATACCATTGATCTTGTTTGATCTAACTGCTCTCAGATGAGGTTTCAAACTTTAATTTTGACAACGGTATCATAGGATCCTACCTATATATATATATATATATATATATATATATATATATATATATAAGTGTGTGTTGTGCTCACTATTTACCAATTCAGAGAAACGTTTCTAGTTTCTAGCCGAAAGTTTGCATTATATATTGGCAAACAGGAAAAAAGAAAAGAAAAGAAAGTATCATTTTCAACAAAAACTAATGAGTTTGCTGTTAAGGCTTTAATATATATAGGTAATAAAATTCTGTAGTGAAATTAGTTATGTTTAAATTGGTATTTGTTCAATGTAAGGATGAGATTTAATTGAGGTCGGTGTTGGAGAATGACTTTGAGTACCGGTGTAAAATAGCGTACAGGCTGTGGTTGGTGTTCTAGACGCATATAATAAGTGTTATGAGTTTTATCCATTAAAAGGTAAATTTTTTATAATAAAGGGTTAAATCTTACAGGTAATTTCTTTTGAAATTCTAATCTCCTTGTGCTTATACTATCTTCATTAGCTTATGTCTTCTCTTTATTTGCGACTGTTTCCTCTATAGGCACGGCTAATTTATGGATCCGATGTTAATCATGATTTTCTTAATCGAAAATTTGATATTATAACCAGTGTTATTAAAATTAAAACTGACCCAGTCATTGATCCGGTCGAGGTACTGGGTTATTGGGTCGCTGGTTTAACCAGTAGGTCATTAGTTCAACCACATGACCCGATAATTATATTCAATTTTATAATTTATATTAAAAAATTATAAACATACTCAAATATCTAAATAATAATAATAAAAATATCAAATATTTAATATAAACATAATGAATCACATATTATTATCCAATAAAAGATCAAATAAAAATATAATGAACGTGATACGGAGCTTTAGGTTCAGAAAACAAAATTTCTAACCATAAATTAATTCAAAATTTTCTGCACAGTACATAATTGAGATAATATTAGTGTTGTAGGTACATAACTTATGTAAGTCAATAAGCAAAAAATATTCAAATATATCAATTACAATTTTTTTTGAAAAGAAAAATTGGAATTTTTTTTTGGGACCGGGCCGGGTCATCGGTTAACCAACCAGGTCACCGGTTTTTATGAAAACAGGCCGGTTCGGACCGGGTTGCACCGGTTCTGATACATGGCAGACTCGTTGCTTCAACCGAACCGGTTCTCGGGTCGACCCGGCCGGATCGGTCCGGTTTTAATAATAGTGATTATAACCTTATCTTTGAGGTAAATGTTAAACCAAAGTGCCTGTGAAGACAGTGGAGGGACCCCGAAATAATAATTTGGAAGTATTGTGTAGGAAATGCCAATTATGATATACTGCTGTGGTTAAACTAAATTTAATTTTTAAGGAAAATGTTATTTATACATTAAATATATGAGAAAAATATCTATCCTTTTAAATGATATAATCTTATATCATTTTAGATTCTAACCGTTGATTTCCGTTCATCAACGGTTATAATCTATTGGGTCAAACTTAATGGGCCAAATTTATTATTAATTAATTAATAATTTTGATCCAATAAATTATAATCGTTGATGGACGGAAATCAACGGCTAGGATATAAAAGATATAAGTTTATATGCTTTAAAATGAGAGATGTTATTCCCTAAATATATATTATGTTTTTTATTTTATTTTTTGCAGGTTTAAGAGCCGGATCAGATGGTTTGGCTATCCTGAAAACTCGTATTCAAATCAAATCAGTTAAATTCAATAAATAAAAAAATCGTCTACAGTTAGAATTATATTTGTTGGCCTTGCTAAACAGTATGCAAGAAATGCGCAAGTATACGCAGTCATTTACTGTGTTAGAATCATATTTGAAACCTCAATATAATTTCACAAGGATTTTTTGCGTTTTTGACTTGACTAAAACTTGCCATTGCTTAAAACTGCATTTCTACTAAAAAGAAAACAATGATTAATGTGATAAACAGAAAATAAAATAAGCAAACAAAAGATCAAAAGTTCATTTGGATTTTCTGATTTAAATTTGAAAA